AGGGCATGTGATCCTCTCATCTGGGTATGGGGCAAACAGGTGTACCGACGAAGGAACTCGAATTTCGCCCCGTAGCATAACGACGTCGGCGTCAGTAAGAATACTCGGTTCACCATGAGATGTAATTTCAGGATTCGGCCATCTCCTAATAGGACGCCTCCAAAATCTCAGTCGTCGATGGCGTTTCTCTCTACAATTTTATCCCCTTCGCTGTCATTTAGATGGATTTTCAGCCGTTCAACAAACACTGGATCCCACCGGTTATACTCAGATAATAACTCCAACTCTCCGGAGTGGACCATGTTAATCATCATCACGTCCAACTCGTCGTCACTCGAAGACGCCCAAGATACACTCATGATGTCGAGAAAGAGAGAAAAGTCAGAGTAAATAAATGAAATACGATGAAGAATTCTTACCACAGAAAGTCGTTCGTGGATCTGAAGTGCTTTGAGTACGGTTGAAAAGCGATTAATTTGCAAAGAAAGCCGAAGAGAGTGAGTGCAAGAAGAAGATAAAAGAAAAGTAGATCTCAAAAGAAAAATTCCTATGTATATCAAACCCTAGATTTGAAAGCGACCGTTGGGAACCGGTGGGAATAGGGGCACGTGGATTACACGTTCTGGATCTGCGAGTCGACGCGACCCTTGGAAATCGTGCCTCTTTATAACAGCTACGTGGCCTATTTTAAGTGACCGTTATCCCTATTGATAAAACGGTGTAATTAATTTCAATAAAGTGCACCGTTTCAACTTTCAAGTATCATTTCTACAAGTGTGAAGACATCGGATGCAGATGACGGAACCGACATGTTGCATTAATACAGAAATTTAGTTACGTTCTGTTAGAGTTTCAGCATCACTGCCCGCTTCTGTCCAGACGACCATTAATGCTGGGGGCCACCTTGTTGATATCATTTTCAGTAAGCCAAATTAAGTGACGTTAATCCGCCGATTGGGGTCAGTATAAGGATAATTAAGATTCATGCAAGCACGAGACGCTTCCACCGACTTCAAGACGGCTGCACGATGAAAGATTCAACAAGAACCGACATCTCCATTATTTGACCGATGTCACATGTCGGTCAACACACGTCGGTCAACACATGTCGGTCGACACATGTCGGTCACAACATATCGGTTATAACTGGATGAACCGATATCTATAACATGCCACCTCAGCATGGTAAGGCGGCGACAACTCAGCATAGGTTATCATTACGTTTGTCCAAGTGGCGAGTTATCAAGAAAAGCAGCTAAGGGCCGCCTTTGACCTTTCAAAATGTAATGATGACTGTACGGATAAATATTGTACTTAAATATAAAAGGAAAAAAATGAATCTCCAGTGGACAAGATATACAATAATAATAAGACTTTACTACAAACATTCCATCTCCTTTTACAATATACCAGTTCTTATCATTGAATATTTGATTGTACTCTAAATTTACTACAATCAGACCGTTGTTAATTCCCGTTTGACAACAAATGACTCATCAACGAGATGTATTAGATTTCAACACTTACTTTAGTCCACAAATGGGCCGTTTAGATTTACAGATTAGATGCTCTCACCCCTTTGCACTGAATACTTCTGCGTGATGCACCATGGATTTTTCCACAAGACCTCCTTTTATAAAAATGTCTTGACATCGACAATGCCAAATCTCATAGCTCATATGAGCGGCCACAACCCAAACTTCGTTTATTTTAGTATGACACTTGTTACTTGTGCGACTTACATGTGTTATATTATAACTTATAACATATAACTACATTAAACATGAATATATTAATTGAGAAATAATTTTATTTTTTAATTAATTTTAATAATTAATTTTTTATTATTGTAAAGATAAATATGATTTATATATTTTATATATACAATATGGATGTCAAATCAAAGCTCATCAAAAGATGATTAATTTGATACATTATATATGTAAAACCGATAAGAAATACAAAAATTATCTACTTTTAAAATACATTTACAATTCAATAGTTATAATAGGAAATGATACTCCCTCCTATTCATAATAATTGTCGTTTTGGGAAGTTGCACAATTATTAAGAATATATTTTTTGACAATAATAACCCTCATTAATGATGATAGAGATGAATGTTTTGAGAAAAAATAAAGAGTGAATATAAAAAGATGTAATGTATTTATTAGCTAGATGAGAGTAATAATGGAAAAATATGTACAAAATATCCAAGACGACATTTATTTTGTTAATAGTTGATAATGCCAAAATGACATTTTAAAAGAATATGAGGTAGTATTAAAATACAATTAATACATCTAAAATGATCATAAATAATCCAACATATTTATGGTAATCCGAACCTAATAAATTTTGGATTGGAATTAAAGTGAAATTTATCCAAGCCAAATAACAAAACATGTAATTTTGACAAATAGGATTCTGAAACATGCGAACATGCCACTCAGGCTCAGCACATTCGAGAATTATATATAATGAAGGACTTACAATTCAATAGTTATAATAGGAAATGATATTAAAATATAATTAATACATCTAAAATGATCATAACTAAATCAACATATTTATGGTAATCCAAATTTAATATATCTTGGATTGGAAGTAAATTGAAATCTATCCAAGCCAAATAACAAAATATGGAAACATCTGGGATTCCAAAGCATGCCAACTTGCCACTCAAGCACAACACATTCAGGAATTATAATCCAAAAGAATTTGAACGGCACTCAAGTCCATCCTTCTTCCTTCCTCTGTAAGAACTGTTAGTTCAACGGCTCCGTTGGTCTTGCTCCATGGATATCGATCCCGACGACGTTTTCCGCGATGACGAAGACGACCCTGATAATGAACTTTACCAGGTTACAATGACTTCGCATAAGCTTTCTCTTTCTAGTTGGTTTCGTGTGTTACAGAAAAATGTTTGTAAAAATGTGCAGGAGAGAGATTCCACGAAGGAGATGTTGGTGTATTTGGTGGATGCTTCCCCAAAGATGTTTTCCGCTACTTGTCCTTCAGTTAGTCTTTCTTCACGGCTCCTTTGTTTTTTATGTTCTACTCTTTTCTCTTGATTTATATTTTTTCCTCTGAAATTCTGCTTGCTTGTCCTAGGGTAGTCTCTCAGTTGCAGAGACATAATAATGGGAGTATTATTATGCTTTTTAGGGTTTAGGGTTTAGGGTTTAGGGTTTAGGGTCTTGTGTTCCTCTTTTTTCTTTTTTAGAAAAAAAAAAGATTAATAAATCAGACAATATATATCATTTTATGCAACGATAAGAGATGATGTTCTGATGAACTTTTATTAGACTTGTGCATATGATGCATGTTGGTGTAAATGGCTCTCTAGACATGAAGTCCAAAGATTCAGCTGGCAATGTTAAGACTGTTCACTAATTTTTTTTCATTATATCGGTTTGAGTTGTGTAGTTTTCTGAGGAAAGTCTTCGTTTCTGGTTTTTGAGGGCTGATTCATGATATGTCTTGATGGATGTATAATTCTGAGAACGAGTATTAAACTGGGTTTCGAAGTTAAGGGCTTAACGAACAATGAAAGTAAATGTGGATTAACTTAACCTTGAGAGCAAGTATTAATTTTTGTTATTTTCTATAATAAACATTCTGTCTCCGAAAAGAAATCCAATTACTAAAGGAAATAGCCAATAAAAGCTTTGAAAAAGCTTGAAGCTTGTACTATTTTCCATCCTTTGCAGACATAAAATGTATTTGTACCCAAGAAGTATTCATGATGTTCTGATGCTTTTTCTATGAACATATGATGGGTGCTCACTTCTTTGCCTTTATATGCAGGAAGATCAGAATGATACTACTCACTTTGAAGTTGCTGTCCGAAGCATTGCTCAGTCATTGAAGACGCAAATTATCAATAGGTCTTATGATGAAGTTGCAATATGCTTCTTCAATACTGTAAGCAAGATATCATTAACCAAGTTTCAGATAGGCCTTAAACTATGGTACTTATTGGAGGATATATAAATGTTATGCATAAAACATAGAATGTTTAAAAGACATCTGAGGGCTGTTAGGTATAACAAAATAAAAAATATGACTCACTGATTTCAAAGTTTTGTTACTTTACTAGCCGAGGTGTTAAATTCTTCAAAGTAGTTATTGGAAACACGCTTCAAATGTTCATGGTATATTAAGAACGATAAAATGTAAGTCTTAGCATAGAACACAGAAAAAATGGTAAGTTTTTATTGCTAGTTACAATGTATTTCTGTCTCATCTATTTTATTTTATGTGCTTTTCTTCTAGAGGGAAAAGAAGAATTTGCAGGACTTAAATGGTGTTTATGTTTTTAATATTCCTGAGCGGGAGGACTTAGATCGGCCGACAGCTAGGCTGATCAAAGACTTCGATTGCATAAAAGGTCATTGTCATTAGCAATCAGTGTTATATTTATCCATAAAAAAATGATGACGCTGCAATTTTATATGTATATACTTTTTCTTTTCATCTTTCATTTATGTTCAGCTGCCACACGTAGTTACTAAATTATGTGACTCTTGGGTTACTTCTTACTTGATTATTTATGTGAACAGAGTCATTTAGCAAACAAATTGGGAGTAAATATGGCATCTTGTCTGAGACTCGGGATAACTCGCTTTACAATGCTCTTTGGGTTGCGCAAGCACTTCTGCGGAAAGGGTATTTGTCTCCACTTATAATGTTAGACAGAATAAAGTGATGTATAATCAGGAGAAGAATCATAAACGAGGAAGCTGTATTATTTACTATAAGTTTTTTGGCGTACCTTGTGTTTTTCATTTAGTTTGTTAGAAATATAGTTCCTTATTGTCGTGGTAATAAATTGATGTCAGGTCCATAAAAACAGCTGACAAAAGGATTCTGTTGTTTACAAATGAAGATGATCCTTTTGGGAATATCAAGGGGGTTCTTAAAATGGATATGATGAGAACAACACTACAGCGAGCCAAAGTAAGACCTCCGTGCATGCATTTGCACCCTCTTGAGTCGAGTCTTGGTCCCTCAGACTCGAGACTTAAACATTGCCAAAATTTTCAGTGTTTCTGCCATCATTATTCATAAGTTTTGAAGGAAAATAAAAACAGGTTTAATTGTTCAGGATGCTCAAGATCTTGGCATTTCAATTGAACTCCTTCCCTTGACAAGACCAGAGGATGACTTCAACGTATCCACTTTTTATGCTGTAGGTTTTTGCTCAGATGGATTCTCTGTTTTCTCTTTTTCATTTACATTTTATTTTAGTATTCAATTCAGCTTCCATTCAGGAATTACTTGGATTGGAGGGCAATGCTCTTGCTGAGTTCAAGGCCTTAGCAGGGGAGAGGTTTAAACTTATCATTTCCTTATAATTAAATGTTTGGTAGTGTTTTCCTCAATTACCAGTAAATTCTAACATTGAGGGTTTAACTTTTAGGTTCGTGTCATATTCCTTTAACATCCTAGTTCACGTTACATCATACCTCTGCTATCAAATAAAAATAGTGTATTGATGCATCCGAATTGTCACTACCCACTCCAGAATTTTGAATTGTTAATGATGCAGTTGAAGATGGTTTTCTATCTATCAGTTTGATCATGTAACACTGTTTTTTAGATGGTATTAGAAACTCACTAATATAGAATCAGTTAGATAGGAAAAGTAGAATGTAGTACTTGGGTGTGCCTTGCATGATAATATTTTTTAGATCATTTAGTTAAATGAAATCGACAAGTTTTAAAAGAGCCTGATGTGATGAGAAGATACAATGCATAATCTATTACTGTTTATCAAGTTATTTATTTTAATACAAAAAAAAAAA